TATAAATACATATTATTAATAACAGTTATGAGATCATATAATTGTGAATGTATAGATGAAATTGATAAAATAAAAAAAATTGTTAAAAAAAATAAAAAATAAAGGCCTCCAGCGATGAAGCACCCACCATGTCTTGTGGCAAGCTGTTCCACTGGTGAATTGTCCTCCCTCTCAGGAAGTTTCTCCTTAATTCCTTAATTTGCTTCTCTGCTTGATTAATTCCCCTCCATTGTTTCTTCTCCCGGCTTGTGGTGCTTTGGAAAATAAGTCGTCCCACCCCCACCCCCCTTTGTGGCAGCCCCTTAAATACTGGAGAATTGCTATCGTGTCCCTCCTTCCTCCTCCTCCTTTTCTCTGGAGTAGCCCTACCCACATCTTGCAACTGTTTTAGTCTCCAGGCCTCTAATCATCTTCGTTGCTCTTCTCTGCGACTTTCCCCCCAAAGTTTCAACGTCTTTGTTGTAATGTGGGGACCAAAACCGGATGCCGGATTCCAGGCGTGGCCTTGCTAAGGCTTTTCAAAGCGGTTCTAATCCTCACGTGATTTTGATTCTCTTGTTTATGCAACCCAGGATTGTGTTGGCTTCTTTGGCTAACGCTCAACTTCCGCGGAGCATAGAAGAAGATTCTGCTGCCTGTTTCAGATGCTTTTTTCCGCTGTTGCCATCAAACCGCAATGCCAGCATCGACCTCTAGAGGGCAGCAGCGCCCTGCTTTGGCAGCATCTCCACCTGCAGGGAGGAAAGTGTCCACCAGGGGTCTGGTAACATCTGCCTCTTTATCAGTTTCTCGGCTTCTCCCAGGGAAGCAACTGCTGGCTCCTCTCGGCTTGCAGCTGCCAAAAAATGACACGCCAGCAACGGAACAGGCTGCAGTTTTGGCAGGAGATGCCTCTGCTCAGGTGGCCTCCAAGAAGGGGGTCTTCTGCTCCTCCTCCATTGCATCCTGGCGAGTCCTGTGCCACCCTGGAGGAAGCCTGGAGGTGGCCTGCAGGCTCTGGGTTGAGCTGCGTGAGCTTCGGAAGTTCGACTCGAGGGATTGGATGGATCGTCGGCTGGAGAGATTGTTCTAGTTTGGAAAACGAGTTGGAATAAAAGTTGCGTGATGATCAGCCCGCATCAGGGAACCGCCAAGGATACCCCCACGCACACGGACAGGGCAAGCCACGAGTACAGAAATAGGAAGCAAGTGAGGGCCCCCTTCTAGCACTGGTGATGTTCCCTAGTTGGGTCATGAAACNACCACAGCTTACAAACAATTGCAGCTAGTTCTGGACTTACAACTGTTGGTTTAGTGACAGTTTGAAGTTACAGCAGCACTGAAAAAAGGGACTGACGACTATTTTGCACACTTACAACTGTTGTAGCATCCCTGGGGCCGAGCCATCAAAATTCAGATGACTCATATTTATGACAGTTGACTCATTTATGACGGTTGCAGTGTCCCGGAGTCATGTGATCCCTTTTGCAACCTCCTGATGAACAAAATCAGTGTGGAAGTCAGATTCAGCTAACAACCGAGTGACTAACTTAACAACTGTACAGATTCACTTAACGCCCGTGGCAAGAAAGTTCGCAAAATGGGGCAAAACTCACTGTACAAATACATGTCTCACTTAACGACATATATTTTGAGCTCAATTGTGATCGTACATTTACCTGTAATTTCTCTTTTGTCCCTTGGGGCAGGATGCTTCATGAAATCCATTGCCACGGCTGTAATTGTGTGGTTGTGCCGGTACATATGCTTATTGTGTTAATAAGGGCACACAGTGACTGTGTGTTGTTCTCTCCTCCAGAAACTTTCTCTAGTGCCGAAAACGGAGAAAATTCCCTCAGCCAGATTTTTGCTCCGTTACCTGAAATCCCCCAGGATCAAAATGCTGCAGAATCCTGGGAAGTGTTAGAAGAGGTAAGTTGCACATCCCATCATTATTTTCTGTCAGAGTGCGCACAGTGTTTCTATGTGAGACAATCCAGGAGCAAATACAGCAAACAGAGGTTTGTAGTTAAATAGTGGTTTATCTACAAAGACTATATACATACACATAGTTTAAGTCAGACTTCAAACAATCAGCAATTACAGCACAGAAGCACACACGGAGAGAGAGATAGGCTGCAACAGGGCCTCTTCTTATTACAGGCTCTTAAAGTGATATCAGCCCAAAAACCTTGCTGACTCATTCCCAGCGTTAACGTTTTGGTGGATGAAAGGTCTAAAATTTACACTAAATTATAATTCAGAAGAAAGTGATGTACAGTTAGTATTTATCACCGGATGTTGTCAAGAATGCATGAATGCTGGAAATGCAAATGTAAAGAAGGGACATTTATCACTTTTGATGGGCATGGGACAAAGTAGAGAAATACTAGATTCATACAGCAGATTCTTAAAGTTAATAAAAAGATGAAATCAGAGACTTTTCTTTTGGCCTAATGGACAAAGAACTTGAAAAAAATTTAGAACTCTGATGTTATATAAATTGATGGCCGAAAGTTTACTTTATGCACAAAAAATGGACCCTTTGATTTCCACCCAGAGGTGAACAGCTGCAAAAGTTGATGGAGTTAGCAATTGTAGCTAAATTCGCTGCTTTGATTCAAGGGGGAAAAAAACCACAATTACTTTTGTTTCTATTTGGAAACCATTTCTGGACTTTGTGCTGGAGGCGAAAAAATATATATGAAATTTTGGTTTTGCCGATGATGTTTCTAGAAATGGCTGGTACATATTATTACGTAAAAGTAAAAAAGTTGAGGTTGTATGTTATGACCTTATTCTACTGCACTAACTCCCCTTTCCTCTCATATTTTTTTCTTTTGTCATTGTATCATATTTTGATAAACTAATAACAGTTAATAAAAAAAGATGAACCAAGTAACGTTTGGGGTTTTTTCTTTAGGATCTGATTGAACTCTGCACTCTGGTGACCGAGTTTTCCCTGCTTGTTAATGTAAGTAGAGCAAGGCTGGTTTCTCTGGAAACAGAGAAGTTAGCAGTTAGCACATAATCGTTCAGCCTCCCCCAGGTCATGTGATCAAAATTCAGATGCTTGGCAACTGATTCATTCATCTATATATCATATCTAATCTGTATATCTAATCTACATCTATATGTATATATGTGTCAGTCTGTCTGTCTATATATCTATATCTATATTTGTCTATGTGTCTGTCTGTCTATCATATCAATATCTAATCTATGTCTGTCTATCTATCTGTTAGTCTGTCTGTCTATCGCTATATCGCTATCTCTATCATATCAATATCTAATCTCTCTCTCTTATCTATGTCTGTCTGTGTCTACCTACCTGTCTATCTCTATCTATCTATCTATCTATCTATCTATCTATCTATCTATCTATCTATCTATCTATCTATCTATCTATCTATCTATGTTCTAT